TTGAACATCATTTTGGAGTGTCGACCTACCAGAGATGCACTGGTTCCAACAACAAACAGCTTTGCCCCATTCCGCTGCATATCAGATTCAGATAATGTTAAATCTTTTAAATCCTGAGGAAATTACAGGCCAAAAAAAAAAAAAAATCCTGTGGAAATTAAGTATTCAAGCTTGTTTGCAATAGGATAGTACTTACAACTATTGCACCTGTTCTCTGTAATAATGAATAAGATGTGCCGGCCAAAGCCACCTGCATTCAGGATTTTAAAAGTAAATAATACATAAGAGTGTGAACAAAGAATATTTCCACATAAAATCTACATATTAAGACAGTAAAAACCTGAAATGCATTATCCGGGCAGCCATAGAAGAATTTAGCAATAGGTCCAGCACTGACTGCAAGAGGAGGTCGGAGAGAAACAGTTGGAGCAGGAAGCCACACAAGCATAAAATCTGCTATTATCGCCATTACCTAAAATATAACTTGTACTGTAAAGATGTTCATGGAATAAAATTTGCCTCAGATAAGATAGCAAACTTTAAGCAGATTTTAACTTGATGCAGGCATACCACATCGGCAAAAACGAAATCAAGTTCCTTCGTAAAATTTTCTCGGCGCCGTTCCAACTCAGCAGCACTCTGAAAGTAGGGAATCATGGCAGAGACTATTTCTATTAGTAACATATTCTTAAGGCTACAACAAATATTAGATGGGGAAGAAAATATTTTAACAAATGTTCGAAGAAGGTGCTAATTTTGTGCGATTAAATTAAATTTCTAACTGTTTTGTAATACCAGCTATGAACAGAAACAAGAAAAAAGCCAAGCACTAAAGATGGCAAGTTTCCACTGTTCCACAACAATTCCAGACCTATCCAAGTAAATGGATAAAGCAAAAGAAGCCTGACCATAACTTGTCATCACAGATACTATGCACTTAAAAATTATTACTCCTCACAACATGCCAGTGGAAAAGAATTTGTAAAACATATCAGACCATCATTGCAAGTCCAAAGAAGTTTATTCATTGAAATTAAATAAAGGATACTGAAGTTCTTGAGGAGGATGCCCTCACAAAAAAGTAACATACCTTTTATCAAACTGTACCTTCTAAAGTGTTGAAAAAAGCAACAGCCATAATGACTGGAAATGTAGATAAGATGCTGATTTTGTAATGCACTCTTGCCCACTTCCAAGCATCAAAAGAGTATAACTAAGCACAATTACACTTGATTTATTAACACTGCATCATTCTGATTTCACTGGATGGTACAGACCAGGTCCCCCACTCAACCAAACCCAATCCCAAGCAAATGGTAACAGACAACATGCTTGAAAACTTAACAAGATTCAGAGAAAAGAAGCCTAATAATCTCAAATTTTGCATTCACATAGAAGATTAGCATGGTGCTCTGAACAAGTTTAACTTCACCATGTCTCTTTTAGCACAAAACAGACACTGAGGTTGAGCAGAGATAGACTTCAACCAGCAAGCTTCAGTAATGATTTCATAGAAATTAACATCAGAATCAGATTAAAGAAGCAAATGTCAATTTAAAATTGTTTGGCTAATTATTTTTGGAACTGGAGCAATTCTGAATATAGGTTCCTACAAATACTGTTCAAATCCAGTCATTACAAATGTTAAATTCTGACTCCAAATTAAACTCTCAGATCGCAGGATATAAATTCACTGAAAAAAGTGTAGGATTGTATAACGAAGATTCCAAAATCAAAATGATCAGGAACAATAGATCAAATACGGCACACAAGCCAACAATACCACTACAGTCTATATATAGCATCATTGTATTGCAGTCTCATCAAATCGCAAACTAAACTCTTCATTATGTTGCATGAATACAAAGTAAATGTATAGGTGGACATAGAAAATCAGGAGCTAAAGTAATGACCAGCATGAGCTACTGACCTTGGTGAAGATCCCAACGCCACATTCAATTGCAACCTTGACCAAGAACAAATCATCCGCAAGCAAACGCTCCTTGAATCCTCCAAAGTTAAGCAACCACCGCATGATCGGCGACTGCTCCAGCTCGAAGTACCTCTTAACTATTGATCCAGGAACTCTCCCTGCCTGAATTGCTGCCGCTAAGTCCTTCGGCAAGCTCTCCAGCGACCTTCCAACCTTGCACCGCAATATACAAGTAAATATCATCGATAAATCTAAACACAATCACCACGAAGACACAAACACACGCATCGCATACCTCTGCCAGAACAAGAATCGCTTCGTTCCGGTTGCGTGATGCGGCATCATCGTCACCATCATCACCTCCACCACCACCACCTCCACCTCCTCTACCACCTGTTCCGTCATGGAAACCGCCGCCATTTCCAGTTGAGAAAACGACAGTAGGGCGGAATCCTCTATTGCTGAAACTAGTCAATCCCAACGACGACGGAGTGACGAAACTGCAAGTGACTCGGCGAGTAGTGATACCGAAACTCTGCTGACGGTGGCGGTGATTCAGTGATTGAAGCGAGAGAACGCGCGTAGGGAGGTTAGAGAAGCTGGCGGTTGCCATTGACGCACAGAGAGGGTCCGCTCGTCTCTGGTTGGTATAAAGAGAGATCAGAGCGAAAATAAGTGGTAGCTTTATTTGGTTTGTTTGGTGGTGCAGAAAGGAAGGGCAGCAGCTGTTGACTTAGACCTTTTTTTTTATTATTATTATTATTAGAACATACTTAGTAAAATTTATGAGTGTTTTAGTTTTTTTTATTATTTATATTTTATAAATTTAAATTTTTATTAAAAAAATAATAAAATTGTTTTTAAGAAAAGTAAAAAATAAGTAAAAAAAATTTTAAAAAGAAAAAGTTTAAAATTTATTAAAATTTATTATTTATGATTTTTTTAAAATTAAAAAAATTAAAAAAATATATAAATTTAAAAAAAAATTAAATTTATGAAATATAAATAATATTAAAAAATAAAACACTTAAAAACTAAATCAAACATGTCTTTAAC